GAACTGAGTTTATTCATCCTTAAGGAAGGGAAGGCTAAGGGGAGGCCTTATTGCTGTTTCAACTGATAGGAAAATACAGAAAAAATGGTCCACATCTCTTTTGAAGACTGTCATTCAGGTCCAGATATAGCACTCCAGCTGAAGTCTTACTCTAGTACTGAATAAGGAAGGAATACTTTTGTCTTTCAGGTTATACTCTTGCCTATTTTGTGTCTTACTAGCCAACCATATCCTTGTATCCTTCAAGATATGCTCCTTAGCCTCCTGCATTTTATTTAGGTATTTTTTCCCCCCAAAGTGCTGGCCATCAAGATTGAGATTGGTGGCTGGAGTGTAGGAGTCTGATACAGAGCAGGATGTGTCAGAAACTTTTTTCACTGGACCATCTGATAGAGCCAACACTGTATCTTTGGTTTTGACCTTACTCTCCTGTGAGTGTCTTGTTACCATCCAGCAGGTTTCAGCAAAGCCCTTTAATGTATACCTTGACTCCAGTACTATCTAATGCCACTTGTGTGCGGATGTGGACTGCAGGTTTTGGTGCTGTTTCTCAGGAGGTGAAGCAAAAATGAGTTTGCATTGGCTGTGAATTTTGGCTCCTTGGCTTTGAAACTGTTCACCAAAATAGCAAATGCATGATATTACAGAATTGGGGCTGGAGAGTTAAGAGGAAAAGAAGGTAACAGAGGATTTGCATGATTCAGGAAAATGGTGTTTCTCTGCTAGATGTTTAGTCTGTTGAATACAGGCATTTGGTGATTTGGCAGTTGAGTAAGTTTCTCTTGATGAAATTTTCATGTGTCAGGTAGGCCCAGGTTAGCATATGTGCTACATTTTAAAGAACTGAGACCATCAATCCACTGACACTCAGCTATCATGGTGGTGGGATTTGTGAGAGTAAAAGAAGCTTGGAAGTCATGTTTCCTTTGAAGCCATCTGTAACTTGCTTTATGTAGTTCTTTCTGCATATATGTGTTATTCTTACTCTATTCCAAGAATTTACTCCATTTTAAATTAACCTTGTTCAAACCTATTGCATTCATTTCCAAATTGGAAAAATCATGTGTCTTAATTATTCTGAATGCTTGATTACGCGTCCTCACAGTATTGCACAATTAGATTTAAAGGTTGTATCTGTCTCTTTCATTTTAATATATCTAAGAATTGTCGTGATGCATTAATTGTATTTTTCCACAGTCTTTTTAATGGTATTCTGCCACCATGCTTTTTGGATACTGTTGTTTTGTTCCTACAAGGGTAGGTCATAATTTTTTAAGGCACACACTAGATGGCGGTATGTATGAATGACTAATTATAAATTGGTCGCAACCAAATGTATTCCAAACCAGTCAGAACTCCCTTCTTACAGAATTTTCCTAGCATTTTTCTTTACTGACTCAGAGTTTGCCAGATAGCAAGTAATGATCCAAATATATTTTTAATACCACAGCACAGATTTCTCTTACTCATTTGTCTTTCCAAATAAAGCAGTGGATTTAGCTTGCTTTCTGCCATATACGTGTTTGCAGGGATGAAATCTGTGAAATGAAATAATGCCATTTGTCAACTTCTCATAATGCTGTTTTTGAAAGTAGACTCTTCCTATCTTGTATGTGTCCTTTAAAACACAGTTTGTGATCTTTGAACAGGAATTTAGTGATACAAGTGTCAATTGATCGTCCCTTTTCAAGACAGATATTCTGCTGAACTATGAACTGCATTAAATGGTAATCTATAACTTTACTCCAGGCTATACTTTTCATTCCAAAATACTTCTTTTTCAGGAGCTATATTAGCTTTTATGTTGGGGTTGTTTCATATCCCTCTGGATGATTGTGAAGAACTGTATCGCAAGTTAGGATCAGATGTTTTTAAGCAGAATGTCATTGTTGGAACAGTCAAAATGGGTTGGAGCCACGCCTTTTATGACAGTGATATCTGGGAAAAAATGCTCAAGTAAGTAAAAAATGCTCAGATGAAAAATATTTTGTATAATGCCTGGGGCTTCAGTTTTGTTATTGTTTCACTGGTAAGCAAATTCTTAAAATGACTAGAAAGGATTAGCATATACGCTCATACTTTTGAAATAGCTGTTTTTATATTTACCAAAACATTGAAAGCCTTTAATGTAATGATTTCTGTTTCAGGGGAGTAAAGTAAGCTTTAGTGCACTGATCCCTGATTGTATTCCTGTATGCTTGCCAGCTCTGCCTGATCTGACTCATTATAGATCTGCTACAAATTTTGCTAGCCACCTGCTGTGCCTTTTTTTTACAGGAGACATGGTGAGAAATGAAATAATGCGCTGTAGTAGGGATTTTTAATCTTAGCTGCTATATTGAGGGGTTTTGCCCATTGCCCCTTTCTTGAAAAGGGCTGTAAGGATTGCAGTGAAAAAATATCTGCTATGTCAGAGTTGCCAGTGAAATGGCATGTGTTTATAGATATGTATACAAATGCATTAATGGCTATTCGGGAAAAGTCACTGGAAGAAATCATTTATTACAAGCTTTATTACGTAATTTTATTAATCTGTATTTGTATTGGTAGTACCATTGTTTATAATTTTTAGCAAACCAATGTTGTAGTTTCCCAAACAGTGTAAGCTGGTGCTGCTACCGAAAGAACTGAAACAACCTTCTCTAAAATACTGTAAAATACTAAAAAACTGCTTTGGATACGTAATGACAAGTTCCTTTGGGAACATGATTAATGTGTTTTATGGGATTGGAAGAGGTTTTTCTAGGCATTATAGTAGGAATACCTGTGCTGCCTGAATTTTGAGCATCTCGCTTCTTTGATGAAGTGGAGAGGGAGGCTTCCAAGCACTTCTCTGTGCTCTTGCATATTTTTAGGAATAAATGTGTTTATCAAGTAAATGTCATGAGTGTTTCTTCTCAGATATCTGGAGTTCCACTTTTTTTAGAAAAGAGATTTTCCTCTGCCTTCCTTTTCTTCCTCCCCTGCCCAACTAAAAGAAGTCTTGTGAAAATCAGAATTACCTCATGTGAAAGTATTTTACATTACTTTAAAACACTGTTGTTCTTTGCAGCTACATTGTAACACATGAGGGAGGTAAAGCACTCTACTCCTCTGCAGTGGACAGAAGCCAGGCAATTATTATACAATCCATAGATTAAGTTAAAAATTACTGATCAACAAATGACTTCTCGTTGACCTAATTCTACAGTATTGAAGGGAGATGCTATGCCTACATAACATTTTATTGAAACAGTAGGCTTCCCTGCAGGGAAAACTGCTTTATGTTTTGTTTTAAATTTAAAAGCCTTACCTGTGCTGGGTGCGTTTTTGTTGTTTAAATGGTAGTAGACTTGTCAGCCTTGCTTGAAATAGAAAGTATCTGTTTACAATATACAGGCATGCAATATACATTTAGCCCTACCGTAGTGTTGATGGTATTATTTTCTGTCAGAAAGTATTCTTGCTGAAAATAATTAAGCTAATGTTGCATTAGGCTGATGTTGCATGAATTCATGAGGCATATTATAAATTCCATTTCAGAAAATGACAACTAATTTTGGTTAACTTTTTATTCTGAGTGCTGTAGGGAGTTGATTTTATGTCTTACATATATGTTTATTTTAACTCTCCTTATATATTCCTTGAATCACAGTTTGAGGACTGATTTTAATCAGTTACTTTTATTACTTTGTGCGGAAAATTATACTTGCTGTATATCAGTCTATGTAGTGCTATACTGAATTGCATCTTTGAGAAAAACCTGGCTTATAGTTCCAAGTTTTCTGTTTTCTTTTGACTGTTGTTTACATATACAATTTTCTTGATTTGTACCGTCTTTAGAAACTACTGGAGAAATTTGGTGGGGAGCTAGGGGTTTTTACAAGCTAACTAAAATCCCATACTGGGAATTTGTAATCTTGAGAAGCAATCAAGCAGTGTATAGAGGGTAGGGTAGAAGTAACGTGTTCTCTGTTGGTAGGAAAATGGATAATGCATGTGTTTGGGTTTACAAGTAATAATACTTCAGTATTTGTTACACAAATTGAACTTAAATTGAGACTGCTCTCCAGCGACTAGACGGGCAACACATTCTGTACTAGTTAGTCACTCCAGACATACTTAAGAGATTTGAAGCATTATCAGTGGGATGTTGTGTATCTTTATGGAACACACAGTGAAAGTCACTCCTATAGGTTTGGAAAAGACCTCATAGTTTCCTGGTACTTTTGTTGTTGTTGTTAGAAGAGGGTAAAAGTTAGTTTTGCGTTTCTCCAGACTATGATTGCACACTGGCTGTAGTCCATTAGAATGTTTCGTTACGCATATGGTTTGCAATATGTTCTTCATAGCATTATTTCAATAAAGTGTTGCAATATTAGTGACTTGAAGCAATGAAAGAGCAACATTTGTAAAGGAGACAACTTGTTCAGACAGGTCACGTCTAGAGGACATAAGTCACAGAGACAAACAAAGCAGATAAATGGAAAAATAGGATGGCAAATGAAATTGTGTATGAAGTAATAACCTATGAGTGGAAAAATGTAAAATGCTTACAGGATTTAAACTAACTTTAATATCAGAAGTGATTTGGGTGTTGTTATGGACAGTTTAATGAAATATCTGTATGCTTGTGGTCAAACAAAATGATTCAGTGTGTGATGGTTGAGATTGAAAATACAATACTATAATGTCGTTACATTAATCCATAATACAGTTTCACTTAAAATGCTATTTACAGTTCCACTTACCCCATTTTAGAGAATGTTTCTGTTGCAAGATTGGTAAAAAGTAGCCACTGACCTACAGGCAACTCACACAAAGGTAGTAGGACTCTTCATTGTTAAAAACAGCAAACAAGTTAAAGTGGTAATTTGAGATACCAAGGTATCTTAAGAATTACTGTTCTCATCTTTTCTTCAAGTACAAGGAACTATTCAATAAAATTAAAATTAGACTTTCTCTTTTAACACAGTATGTGAATAAACTGGAACTAATTGCGTTGTGACTTCGGTAAAGAAAATTGAACAGTGAAGCTTGACAAAGGCATTTATATAATACGCAATTACAGTATTAATGCTAGCAACAAAATTAAAAGAAATTTGAAGGTGATATTAAACTTTTATCTTTAGACCTTAATGTGTAAAGTTGCATAGTAGTTTAAGGGATTTCTTGTACCTACTCTGACGTATCGGTTCCTGGCCTCCATATGAAACAAGATGTGAGAAAATAATTATTCAGTTTGACAGTTCCTGTAATTAAGCAGTGGATATTGCTTATGCAGTTTCTTGATCTTTGTGTTCAGGTTTGGGAAAAATACCTAGTACAGCTATTAAGGAAGAAGTAGATGAAAGTGATGCAAATCAGTAGAAGTCTTTCATATCTCACCTCTGTCAATCTGATCTTTTACTTCTGAATATTCCTACTTCATGGTTCTATGTGCCTTCATCTCCTTCTGTAATCAACTAGTGAGTGCAGCTGGCACTCTTCCCCATCTGCTTGGTGACTGTGGAACTGGAATGAATGCATTTATTGCAAAACCTAAAATCGAACAGCACTATTGATGCAAGAATTGTGTCAGCAATAGTATTTGATCATAGGACTAGAGGCTGTCTCCCTTCCTTCCTCCCTCTCAAGGACACGCACACAGCCGTTCTTCTAGCACAGACATCTACCAGTGGAACAGTAATTTGTCCTACCTCCAAATACAGTTTGCTGTCTACATTGAGGATTACCCCTATTGTAGCATTTAAAGCTTCTTTTATCTTCTGACCTGACTAGATCAATAAAGGTGGTGTTTTTAACAGTGACAGTAGGTAGTAGCGCTTCCACAGTAGTGTGAGCCATAGATAGATGATCTCCTAACAACACCACAAGGAATCACCTTACTTAAAAAGTGTGGCAATACTGAAAACCATCTTTGCAGAGTAAGGAAGATGTACCACCTATGTTTGTGTGGGCTGTATTCCAGGGGAGGAAGAAAACTTGCTGACTTAAATGAAGCCTGTTTAGAATCGTTATGGATGAGCACCCACTCTGTAGAGTTTTATACCTTTACTGTAAGCAAATTGAAGTTGAAATAATACTGATATGAGATTATTGGCTAGTAAGCTGCTGCCCTCCAGTCTCCTGCACTATGCAGGCTACCTTCTAGTTAGCAATTAGAATACTGACCCTAATGTTGATGTGATGATAAATTCCAATGCTGATCATACGTGTGATTTCACTGTCAGATTTATAAAAATGTATGTGTATGAAAAAATTCCACCTGAAAAATGGATGTTAAATGCATATGGAATTATTGGTGTAGAAGATTACATGTAGATGTTTTAACTTTTTTCTAAATCCTGTAGAATGTTTTCTTTCTTTCTTTAACTTGTTTTCATAACAGTTCAGGAGAGTAATTTTCATTACTATAAAAGCGTTTATTAAAGATGTTGATTTTTTGATTCTTAGATGTAGCAAAGTACTTAATTTTCCTCTCACAAAGTAGTTGAGTAATCCTGATGATTTATGGTTAAATATGTGATGAAGTGAGTAACTGAATCAAGACCTCAGTCACTCTTCAGACTTATTTCCAACAGCTTAGAAGGTTTGAAATATTGGTCCATTGAAGGCGACTGTAGAAATCTGATTGTTAACGTTTAAATGCAAAGTTCTTAGAAGTAAGGATGATAAAAATATATGTGTGTTGTTCATGCTAAACTGATGGAGCATTTTCCATTTTTTACACTTACTTGTAGAGAAAAAATGGGCTCAAATCTTATGATTGAAACTGCAAGAAATTCGAAATGTCCAAAGGTGAGTACACTTTTCCAAGGTAAATGCTAACTGTGCATTCCAGTTACTTTTAAGAGTTCTAAGTGAGAGTACTATCCCTAAAAGAATATTGGATAAACAGTATGAGTGTTGATATGCTCTCCAAGCTTCCATATGATATAACCCATGCTTTAAAAGGATAAAAATTCATTAGTTTCTTAAATTTCTGCAGCAATTTCTCATATTTTTATTTAATTCTTTGTTAGAATATATTTCAGAGATGTTAAAAGGCTTATAAGCAGAGAAATACTAAGTCAACTTCTTGAAGTTGTGCAAAGTTTGGTTTTTCATGTAAGAGAATTCTAGTATCTGGAGATCCTGTCATGTCAGCTGTGATCTGTGTTACTGTGTAGTGAGAGAACAGGGTTTTTCTTCACATTGTCTGGATTACCAGGTTTTCTCCATTCGCAGGCATTTGGGGCATTTATGGGTCCCTCAGATCTCTGCTCTTCCTGTATGATCTTATGGGCACCAGTTGATTGGAGGGGTGTTGTATACAACAGCAGCATGAGAGTGAAAGATGAGAAAGCACGGGCATTTTATTTTTGGTGAAGGATAGGGTGTGAAGAAAGAAGAGAAATATAATAGCACATATTTCAGAACAATCTGTAATTAACAGGTGTTTTGGTGTCATAGCACTATATTCAGTGCTTTACTGTTAAATGGAAGATAGTCACATTTTCCTAAACATAGAAACGTGCTTGCCTTCACTGCATTCCTAGTCCGTGTCTAAAACAAGGACACAAAAAGGCTGGGGTGGTATGCTGCTTTCTGAGAGAAGCTATCCTATGTTGACCTGAAGGTTATCTTTGAACCGGGATATTTGGTTTCCTTCCATGTTCTTCAGCAATAAAATGTGAATATAAATAGAGTTAAAACTAGGTGTTCCCAGTAATCTCTTTGTAGTGCTGGCAGTGGTGGCACTCCTCACAAGGCACAGCAAAATCAAAATAAAACACGCAGATTGTGTGCTCTGCTGCTGTTAAATTCATGGCAAGATCGATTTTTTCCAGAAGGCGCTCAGCGCTTTACAACTTAGAATGCATCATGAAGTGGAAGCGTATATGGGTATTCCTAGAAATTCAAGCATCAGTTTGATAAGTTTTTTTTTATATTTTCCAATAGTTTTTTCTTACTGCTTCTAGTAGTGCTTAGAACCAAACCTCCCTTTTGACAAAACCAGGGAACTTTTCCTCCATGAAGTGATGGAATACGAATCATGCATGTGTTTTGCTTATGCATTGTCATATGGAAGTTAGACTTTTCTCGTTTTCTTTTTTATAAGGATGGACTTACTGTGAATTAAATGATTTAGCGTACATAGCTGAAGAATGGAAATGAATAGAGTGATATCACAGCGTCAGCTGCTAGTGCTGTTGACTAATGTTTCCCAAAACCACCCTATTCCAAAATAGTAAACAAAATAGAATTGACCACCCACTTGTCTGCTAAAGAGTATTGTTCTGAACAGTGCCAGCCAGGCTGCGTGCATCATCACTGAAGGGTCTTGCACATTCCAACACTCGCCCATAGCTATAGGTACTCTCATCTCGTGTGACTATATCTGTAAGATACGATTTTTTTGGGTTTTCCCCAGTCATACGTTTTGTTTTATGGAAATACTATTCTGGCTTTTCACTTAGATTTACATATGTGACTTTTGTTAATGACGTTTCAATGTCCTTACAAAAAACCTTGAAAGATTTATGTTTGATTCTTTTTGGTTTTTTTTCTGTGAGAGAGAGTCTTCCTGCAATCCTTTAACTCAGGTTGAAATAGTAAGTAATCATTTTCTTACAGGAAGAATTCCATTGGCGTTTCTAACATTCATACTTAATGGCATTACTGCATTGTTGGTTACAGACTTTTGAGAATGAACTATTGTCCATAAAGGCAAAACATTTTAAAAGCATAAAGATGACACCAGCTTTTTGTTTAAATATCAATGGATAGATGTTGGTAGAAACAGAATAGCCAGTGGAAACAATTTCAGGTTAAAAATAGCATTTTCCTTAGGGAGTTTAGTTTTTGCTTTGTTGGTTTTTTTACTTTCTTTTTTAAAATCTAGATAAGCATTATAAAAGAAGTAGGTAAATAATGAACTAAGTAGGATTCCAGAGATGCATTTAATGTATAAACTGAATTTCTTATTGTGGGAAATTGTCATTATTATTATTATTATTATTATCACCATATATAACTATTTTTGTTCCTCCTAACTAGGTAGCTGCAGTAAGCACCATTGTAAATAGAGGAACACCACTGAAAGCATTTGTTTTTAGAAACTACAATCACTTTCCTGGTGTTAAGTCTCACTATATTGGAGGCTGTCAGTATAAACTGTGGCAGGCCATTAGAGCATCATCTGCTGCACCGGGTTACTTTCAGGAATATATTTTGGGAAATGATCTTCATCAGGTAAGTCAAAATCTTCTCCTTTCATAAATATTTTCCAGTGTTACACCTGAGAAAAAAGTTGTCTGAATTTCTGAATCGGAACTAAGCAAGTAAGTTGGTAGCAGAAAGGAAGTCTAGGATGGATGGGGTAAGAAAGGAAATCTTCAGCTTGTATAGCCCTTATAAAACTAGAAGGGGTATAGGCTTAAAAATCCTAGTCTTCTCAATACAAACTTAAGCTCTTCTGCTGTTCCTTTCTTCTCTGCCTGGAAGGAAACCTTATATGAGTTGTAAATTGCTTCTGACTTCCTGCGTACAACTGGTATTTAATTGAGCATTATTTTACTAAACAGATGGTATGACTTAAAAATCTAACAATATTGTGAAGTGTGAAAAAAATCAAGTTATGCATTTCAGTGTTCCTTTTATTAGTGCATAATTTCAGTTTATGGTCTACTTTTAAGTCTTCTCATTGATAGCTTATTAAGCTTTATCCTGGTTCTGAGCTAGTAAAAAGAGTAAGAGATGCCACGGCAGTAAGATTAAACTCAGAGGGCAACTGCAAAAGAAATTCCCTCAAGGATAAAGCAGTGTCTCCTATCAATAGTGTATGCTATTTTACTGTATTATAGCTTCTGTTGGTGACCCTAGTTAGTAAAGAGCAAGAGAAATTAATTTCTTTAGTAGTTTTTTAACCATTGTGTTCTTGTCCTCCAGTGTCCCTTTATTGTTCTGCAGTTCTCTTGATTTTTAAAGGAATCCTTTTTACATATTAATTTAAAACTATTAGTATTTATTTTTAAGAAGATCTGTGGCAGAGAGGACTACAAAGGGTGATTGAACCAGAAACCTTCAACAAAGACAGCATAGGATTCTATCACTTAAATTTAGAGAAAGCATCTATTACATTTCAGTCATATTAATTCATATGTTGGCATTAGCCTCAACTACCAGAAAGCAATAATAGCATATTTTGAGCAGTAAGATGTACCTGGATCGCATACAGAATTTCTTATGGTGTCCTTTAAAAGGCTATGTGATCTCATTAGCATTGTAATGTGCATAAGTAATACTGAAGTTTAAAGGCTAACAGATAAATAAGGGGAATAAGATGACATAGTGAAAAAATGATTAACAAAAGCATTGATACAGAGAAACAGCTAGAATTTAATCTGAAAAAACCCCCCAGCACACTTCCGTGTTTTGAATTAATGTTTATAAGGAGATGGAATAATTATATTGACCTATACAAAAGCTCTACATAAGTTGGGGAGTGAAGGGGAAGGGTTTCCATTGAGGGCAGGATGGTGCTGCTACATCAACCAGATACTGAGAGTTCTTCCATTTTCTTCCGTTTCTCCTTTTTGTTAAGGGTCTTTTTCTGCCCCCCTCCCCCCCATCCCACCTTCCCCAGTATGGTACGTCTTGTTATCCCCAAAACATTTGAATCAAATACTACCTGAAATAAGCAATTAAGTTCTGGTGGGTTTTTTAAAGCTAAAAATGGAGTAATACATCAAATATTCCAAGCGTAAGCACTGCTTGAAATCCTGAAACGTGGTCATCTTCCATCTGGCCAAACAGAACTGGAAAGGGAGTTGCTTTAGCCTTTGGAGCTGTTCCAAGCTGCTCCTTAACTGCTTGAATGGGTCAGTGTTAAGCTATGTGAAGCACTTTTCTTCCTCTTCTCACCTTTCCACCCCCTCTTTCCTTGAATTGAGAGTACATCAAAGTCTGTCTGTGCTTCTGTATGAAGAATAGCTAAATAAACAACATGATTTTTTAAGTTCTGCGTAGTGCTTAGACAATTATTTGTCTTAACATCATTTCTGAATAGCCAGACTTGTTTGAAATGCAGTAAGGTGGATATTCATTTCATCTCTATTCACTTTTAAGTCCGATTTACCAGACTAGAGAATGTATGTTTAGTGTTAATAGAGATCAGGCTCAGTATTCTCAGACACGCAGAGCTAGAATGAAGTCTAGGTAATTTTTCCTTACTCCAGATTCTTTGGACAAAGCCCGCCCATGTGATCTTACCAACACTTTCACAAACTCACCATCCTTTTCTATTTGATGTATTTTAATTACCAGAAAGCAAGGGCTTAGGATGTAGTTCACCTTTGTTAGCCTTAAGGAACTAAATATGTTTTCAGTACTAAAACTGTTCATTGTAGTAGAACTAGATGCTAAATTTTCTGACTTAAACCTTCATATAATCTGAAAATCTCTTCTACCCAGGCTTAAACACTTTTGAATTCTTTTAGAAAGAAATCTTTCACGTCTTCCATGCCTTCATACTCTTCTTTCCCCAGATTACACTTTTCTTAGTACATCTCTATTTCCATAATGATCTGTTTTCTGTGGGATGTGCTTGGTTTTATATGGACAGCCGGCTAGCACAGTGCTACGTGGCAAATGCTACATAACTGTCTTCATGTAGATTTCTGTCTGAGATTATAAATCCACCACTGCACACGCAAGCTACCTTGAATTACTTTGTTTTAACCCTGGGGTAAGAGACTCCGCGCCATGTAGCAGGCTGTTACCCTTACGTTCTTGGGTGTAATGCTACCTCAGTGGGAAATGCAAGGTAATCAAGAGTTTTATCTCTGTTAAAGTATCCAAGATGAACTGAAAAGAATACGTGTGCATTAGTACATTTTTAAGTAAATAGAATCCTAAATGCAGTCATATTTCTGTTTAAAATGGCTTTGTGATTATTTTTAGAGTATCTTAATAACTCTTCATCCTTAGTTATAGCACATACCATAAAGATGAGCTAAATTTTTGTTAAGTGTCTTTATTCTAGAATTGCACTGCAATTGTCGCATTAAGTTCATCAGTCAGGTCATGAATGATACTAACATTTGTAGTTTATATGGAAATACTTGCTCTTTTCTCTCTTCTCACTTCAAGCCTGTACACTGTCTAACAGGTTGGGCTGCTTTTGACCTGCTGAAATAAATGAAGCATAACATTGTTAGACATTCTCAATAGTACCATGATTTTTGTAAAGTGCATCAGCACAGTACGCGTTAATTGTAAATAATAATTTATGCCAAAGGCTTCAATTTTGCAGTACACTGTCAGAAAGATGATGGTCTTCAGAGGATTTTTTTAATGGATTGGAAACTTCAGTTAATTAATCAACATAATCTCTTTTCTGAACAAAACTATGCTAGTTCCTTACTAACTTATACATAATCTGCTTCTGCAGTCTTGATATTTCTAAATAACTCAATTAATAGAGAAGGGCAAAATGTGAAAATGATCGTAAAATGTCTGTGAAAATTCAGAATAGTAAATATAATAGGATTTGTTTCCTGGCTTTGAAGTTTGGGACTCTAAAGGATTATATATGGAGACCAGGTTTTTGTATTGGCTTAGCAGTCAGTTGTACATTTAAATCTGAATGAAAAGCACTCTGGCAGTTGATCTGACTTAGGACTCTTCAAATGTGTGAAAACATTTATTTTTATAATGGAAATTCAGTGGATTTATTTTATGGTCAGCCTGCATATTCTTGTCTTGCGTTATCTGGCTTTTGTTGAAATTGGAGTCCTTCTGCAGACTGCATGAAGTAGTTGGATGAGAGTTAATGCATAGGGTTGAGATTAATTTGTACAGATTTTGTGTATGGCTCTGGACATATATACTGGAATCATGCCTGAACTGAACTGTAGCTTTAACTGTTGCTGTGGGCTTTAACCCTCACTTTTCCATAACATGTATATATCTATATATACATGTGTAATTGTGTATGCACATGCGTGCCCTTTCTCTGGGAACATTCCAGTCTGACTTCCTGTACTAGCCACTGTAAATGTTCGACAGGATTGTAAAGTGTGTTTATTTATTAATAAGGTAATAAATTATTTTTACAATTCTTCTGACATAATTGTTTAGAAAGAGATTTTGAGGTGCCCGAACAATTATTCTTATTTGTGCTGTAGATAAACTGATGCCAGGTTTGTTAAATTTCCGCAAAAAGTAAGTGGTTCAAAACCAAATAGCAATATTTACATTCAGGTCAATCATGCCATGCTATCTGGTTCCACTCTGTCAAGTAGGAAAAAACAGTGCAGCTGTTGGTAGATGAGAGGAGGGGGATTAATATTCTTTGTGGTTCAAAAGAGGAACACATTAACATTCAAAGGGATTTAATCCCTGTAACATGCTTCTCCAGGAACTGTGCAAGTCAAGAGAGACCAAGTCATGATGTTACAATGTAGAAGCTGTATTGCCACATGTCAGCTTTCTTATATTAAAATCTATTTATGAAGCACTGAGGGTCTTTTAACCTCTCCCCAGTCCTGTTACAACCAATGATTTTTTTTTTTCCTACTTCCCATGGAGGGGTGTTGTTTCTTGTATATATTCCTCTTTTTTTTCTTTTTTTTTTCTTTTTCTTCTGTAGTGTGAAAAGCATTTAGTGTACTTAGTAATGTCACTTCAGTAGACAGTATAGTATGCTGAGGAAATTGCCAGTTAATTAAAAGAGCAATTTAAGATTTAATGAAATCATTATGCACACTTAATTTACTAAGTTTTACAGTAAAAACTAAGTTTGCCCCACAGGATTAATTAAAAGGGCAGCAGGGGTTGGGGTGTGTGTGTGTGACTTTAACAAAGCCACAGATTTTTCTCAAAATAAAATGCTCTATTTAGTTCAAAGGACTCAATCACCTTTTTCTTGATAGCTTCCCATGATTTCATTGCTGCTTTACAATTCCATTTATTAAAATAGTGGTGTTGACTTGTAGTAGTGTTCAAATAATCATATTTTCTTTGAGCAAGGTCAGATACTAAAGTGGTTAAATTGGGGGGTAATCTGTTAGGGGAGTTTGAACAAGGCAGGCATAACAGGATGTGTGGTAAGAATACACCCTAGAAATAAAAAATATGTAAAGTACAAAAATATCATGTAACTAAAATTTCAAGTCTCACCTTCATTAAAAAATACGTAATCCAGTTTCTTTATATTTGTCAAACTTTTCCCTTCCTTTTATTAGGCAGTA